TCTGCCGGGTTTTGGTATCAGGATGATATTGGTCTCATAGAATGATTTGGGAAGGATTCCCTCTTTTTGGATTATTTGGAATAGTTTCAGAAGAAATGGTACCAGCTCCTCTTTGTGTGTCTGGTAGAATTCGGCTGTGAACCCGTCTGGACCTGGGCTTTTTTTGTGTGGTAGGCTCTTAATTGCTGCCTCAACTTCTGCCCTTGTTATTGGTCTATTCATAGTTTCAGCTTCCTCCTGGTTTAGGCTTGGGAGGACACAGGAGTCCAGGAATTTATTCATTTCTTCCAAGTTTACTAGTTTATGTGCATAGAGTTGTTTGTAATATTCTCTGATGATGGTTTGAATTTCTGTGGAATCTGTGGTGATTTCCCCTTTATCATGTTTTATTGCCTCTATTTGGTTGTTCTCTCTTTTCTTTTTAATCAATCTGGCTAGTGGTTTGTCTATTTTGTTGATCTTTTCAAAAAACCAGCTCTTGGATTTATTGATTTTTTGGAGGGTTTTTCGTGTCTCAATCTCCTTCAGTTCAGCTCTGATCTTAGTTATTTCTTGTCTTCTGCTGGGTTTTGAGTTTTTTTTTATCTTGCTCCTCTAGCTCTTTCAATTTTGACGATAGGGTGTCAATTTTGGATCTCTCCATTCTTCTCATATGGGCACTTATTGCTATATACTTTCCTCTAGAGACTGCTTTAAATGTGTCCCAGAGATTCTGGCATGTTGTGTCTTCGTTCTCATTGGTTTCGAAGAACTTCTTTATTTCTGCTTTCATTTCCTTGTTTATCCAGTCAACATTCAAGAGCCAGTTGTTCAGTTTCCATGAAGCTGTGCGGTTCTGGGTTGGTTTCTGAATTCTGAGTCTAACTTGCTTGCACTATGGTCTGAGAGGCTGTTTGTTATGATTTCAGTTGTTTTGCATTTGCTGAGCAGTGCTTTACTTCCAATTATGTGGTCAATTTTTGAGTAGGTGTGATGTGGTGCTGAGAAGAATGTATATTCTGTGGATTTGGGGTGGAGAGTTCTGTAAATGTCTATCAGGTTTGCTTGCTCCAGGTCTGAGTTCAAGCCCTGGATATCCTTGTTGATTTTCTGTCTGGTTGATCTGTCTAATATTGACAGTGGAGTGTTAAAGTCTCCCACTATTATTGTGTGGGAGTCTAAGTCTCTTTGCAAGTCGTTAAGAACTTGCCTTATGTATCTGGGTGCTCCTGTATAGGGTCCATATATGTTTAGGATCGTTAGCTCTTCTTGTTGTATCGATCCTTTTACCATTATGTAATGGCCTTCTTTGTCTCTTTTGATCTTTGTTGCTTTAAAGTCTATTTTATCAGAGATGAGAATTGCAACTCCTGCTTTCTTTTGCTCTCCATTTGCTTGGTAAATCTTCCTCCATCCCTGTATTTTGAGCCTTTGTGTATCCTTGCATGTGAGATGGGTTTCCTGGATACAGCACACTGATGGGTTTTGGCTTTTTATCCAATTTGCCAGTCTGTGGCTTTTGATTGGTGCATTTAGTCCATTTACATTTAGGGTTAATATTGTTATGTGTGAATTTGATACTGCCATTTTGATGCTAGCTGGCTGTTTTGCCTGTTAGTTGTTGTAGATTCTTCATTATGTTGATGCTCTTTAGCATTTAGTGTGATTTTGGAATGGCTGGTACTGGTTGTTCCTTTCTATGTGTAGTGCCTCTTTCAGGAGCTCTTGTAAAGCAGGCCTGGTGGTGACAAAATCTCTGAGTACTTGCTTGTTTGCAAAGGATTTTATTTTTCCTTCACTTCTGAAGCTCAGTTTGGCTGGATATGAAATTCTGGGTTGAAAGTTCTTTTCTTTAAGGATGTTGAATATTGGCCCCCACTCTCTTCTGGCTTGTAGAGTTTCTGCCGAGAGATCTGCTGTGAGTCTGATGGGCTTCCCTTTGTGGGTGACCCGACCTTTCTCTCTGGCTGCCCTTAGAATTTTCTCCTTTATTTCAACTTTGTCGAATCTGACGATTATGTGCCTTGGGGTTGCTCTTCTTGCCAAATATCTTTGTGGTGTTCTCTGTATTTCCTGCAATTGCGTGTTGGCCTGTCTTGCTAGGTGGGGGAAATTTTCCTGGATAATGTCCTGAAGAGTATTTTCCAGCTTGGATTCATTCTCTTCGTCCCTTTCCGGTACGCCTATCAAACGTAGGTTAGGTCTCTTCACATAGTCCCACATTTCTTGGAGACTTTGTTCATTCCTTTTTGCGCTTTTTTCTCTGATCATGGTTTCTCGTTTTATTTCATTGAGTTGATCTTCGACTTCTGATATTCTTTCTTCTGCTTGGTCAATTCGGCTATTGAAACTTGTGCATGCTTCACGAAGTTCTCATATTGTGTTTTTCAGCTCCTTTAATTCATTCATATTCCTCTCTAAGGTATCCATGCTTGTTATCATTTCCTCAAATCTTTCTTCAAGGTTCTTAGTTTCTTTACGTTGATTTAAAACATGTTCTTTTAGCTCACAAAAGTTTCTCATTATCCACCTTCTGAAGTCTAATTCCGTCATTTCGTCACAGTCATTCTCCATCCATCTTTGTTCCCTTGCTCGTGAGGAGTTTTGGTCCTTTCTAGGAGGCGAGGTGTTCTGGTTTCGGGTGTTTTCCTCCTTTTTGCGCTGGTTTCTTCCCATCTTTGTGGATTTATCCACCTGTCGTCTGTGTAGTTGCTGACTTTTCGATTGGGTCTCTGAGTGGACACCCAGATTGTTGATGATGAATTATTTCTGTTACTTGGTTTTCCTTCTACCAGTCTAGCCCCTTCGCTGTACGACTGCTGAGGTCCACTCCAGGCCCTGCTTGTCTGGGGTACATCTATAGCAGCTGCGGAACAGTGAGGGATGCTACCAGTTTCTTTTTCTGCTATCTTTGTCCAAGAATGATGCCTGCCAAATGTCAGTCTTTTGGATATAGAGGGGTCAGGGAGCTGCTTGAGGAGACAGTCTATCCTTTGTAGGAGCTCAAGTGCTGAGCTGTGAGCTCTGTTGTTCATTCAGGGCTGTTAGGCTGCTATGTTTAATTCTGCTGCAACATAACTCATAAAAAAACCCTTTTTTTCTCAGATGCTCTGTCTGGGGGGGGGTTGGGGCTTTCCTTGTGAGTGTCCGCCTCGCTGTCCTGCCCAGCTAGGAGGCAGTCTAGTCACTTTTTGCCTGCCGAGGCTCCGCCCTGCTGGTGTGAGGTTTGCCCTGTTGCTGCAGGCTCTGCCCTTCTGCTTCGGTCTCCGCCTTGTTGCCACGGGCTATGCCCTGTGGCGGAGTCTCTCTGTTGTACCGGGTTGCCTCGGCAACAGCAGGCTGCGTCAGCAATGGGCGTGTACCTCAGTAGGGGCTGATTGCCTTGGTAATGGCGGACGCCCCTCCCCCACGGAGCTGCGCTTTAAGAAAACCTCCTCACTGGGAGCGTTTGGAATCGCCGTTTTGTTTGTCGCACTGCGCTACCCCAAACGCTGTTTCCCTGGGATTTCCTGGGCTGGCCCACTGTCCAAGTCCCGTTCAGTCTCAAGTTCAGCCCTCTCAGGTCTCAGTTTGCCGGTTCAACAGGGCACCCGTAACAGTGCGCTTTTGTATGGAGTGTTGTGGAGCGCCTCTGCGCTCCGGCATGGGCCGCAGCCGCACCGGCTGCCAGCTACACCAGCCTAGGCCTCTGCCTGGTGTCCCGCGTCTCTTTTATACCTGGGAATTTCCCCGTTCTGTGGGCAACTAAGATCCATCTGGAAATGCGTCCCCAACTCACCCTCTCTGCGCATCCAGCGAGAGCTTCAATCCTGGGTTGTTCTCACAGCGCCATCTTGAGTCCTCCTCCAGAAATGGCAGTTTTTTAAAACTCCATTATTTTCCCCACATTTGTTAGTTGGCATTCTACTTCAGCAAAGACCTTTGCCTTCTCCCTTCTTATTCTACTTACATATTCTCATATGGACTCATGTATTCTTATTTTTTCCATAAGTTATAATCCATTACAGTCGCTATTTATTTTAATGGTCAAACTGCCCCAGATTTGATTATAGGAGGCCCTTTAAGCTGGTTCCTCTGTCCACAACCATTATATTTTTTAGAATGTTCTAACTTTCTGGCACAACAAAATGTTCCAGGCTCATTAGACTTGTCCTGCCCCAGCCTTGGAATCAGCCATTCCTCCAAGGAGTCCTGATTCCTCTTAAGTGACAAAGACTATTTACAAGCAAGGTTTATATGCTTAGTGTGCTCATTGCTACTGAAGTGTTTTGGTTTCTATGCCCTTGCAGTGGAGAGAGCTAGGAAATATTTTGTCTATAACCATATGATAGATATGAACAGATAACATCGATATGGATATCTGTCTACATGTTTTTTTCTTCCTTAAGCTAAGAAATGGGGATTAGAGGAGACAAATTGAAAAATGCCTCCAGAAAATTTTAAGGCTAGATCTGAGCTTTTATTACTGGGTGGGATCTTTTGGAATTAAAATGTGTCAACTTCAGGAATATGGGATTTACCAGGAGGAGGCCAGGTGCTAGGTCATTTCATGGCACAATCCTCCACAGAATAATGTAATAAGCACTTACTCTGTGCCTGGCTAAGTGCCTGATGTGTGTTTATTATCTCCTCTAATCTAATGATTGTGAGCTACATACTTTTGTTACTTCTGTTTTACAGTTGAGGAAACCAAGGCTAAGAGAGACTGAATGACTTGCTGAAGAACACACAGCTAATAACTGGCAGAATCAGGACTGGAACTTGGTCTATCTTAATGTGCATTCCTACTGCCACAATTCCCTGCCACTCTCGAGTTGGGCTACCTTGCCTCCAGCTCTTGAAATATGATGAATAGCAAATCCTTAAGTCATAGAGAATAGAATATCATGTCAGGTGCTGGCAGAGCTCCTGACAAGTAGTAGCTGCAGGGCCAACATATTCCCTCCCTCTTCTCCCCAGGGCATTTCCATGGTCCCCTGTGAAATAAATGAGCCTATCTTATCTATGTCATAGATGACTATAGCTTCCAACCTCATAATAGCACAGCCTGCTGGGTACTCAGGGCCCCTCCCCTGGACCTCCTGCCTGCTCATTTATTTTCTCTCTATTCAAGGGCAGAAATGTGTGGTTCAATGGAGGCCTTAGCCACCCTTACCACCAAGGTACCAAACTCCTCCCAAGCCCGGTAAACCCTAGGACCCACACTGTCTGACCTAGTGCAGCTGGAGAGCTTTAAAAAAAAGTCCATTTGAATGTATGAGCTATTGACAAGTAAGTGTTTGTTGGTTCTTTTGGGAATGATATGATCCAGAAACATCTCATATTTGTCCTGAAATAAATCTGAATTGGTTAGAATGTATCTATTTTTAATATCAGATTAAGTTTGTAAAATAGTGTGACTTTGTTTCGATGTTTTCCAGGCTCCCAGGATGGAAACTAACTACCTAAAGAGGTGCTTTGGAAATTGCCTGGCCCAGGCACTGGCAGAGGTGGCAAAGGTTCGGCCAAGTGACCCAATAGAATACCTGGCTCACTGGCTTTATCATTATGGGAAAACAGTGAAAGCAAAAGAAGAGGTGTGTATGTGCACTGGGACTTAGGGAGGGCCCAGCTTTCCCAGAGTACCTTGAAAGCCAGACACAAGGCAGGTTTCTGGAGCTGGCCCGGGGAGTTCCTTGGTTTATTTGACTTGCTCTTAGGGCAAGATATCCCTTAAATGTGGGGATCCTGGAGGCTAACTCAGAGAAGTGGGGCTTCAACTCAGAGGAGCTGTGGGGTTGAAGGGTTTGTTGCTACTAGCAGGCTAAGTAAGGCTAGTTACAGGAGGAAACTCAGCGGACCCAAAGGACCCATGACCCAAGTCAGTCCCCAGTGAGGGGGGCAGCATTTATAAGGCTTCCCCAGGTGCTGACCTATTTGACTCTGTCACCTCACCCCAGAATAGGCAAGAGAAGATCCAGCTGCAGGAGGAATATGACAGTAGCCTTAAGGAAATGGAAATGACAGAAATGCTGAAACAAGAAGAGTATCAGATTCAACAGAAGTGTGAAAAGTGTCACAAGGTAGGGAAAAGGGACTCAGCTTTGGGTAGCCACAAACATCCCGAAGATGGAATCCAGGAAGGCCACAAGTTAGCCCAACCCCAATGTAAGGCACAATAAGGGTCCCTGTAGCCTACTTTTCACTCCATATTCACGTATTTGTATATAAACCTATGTTATTGACAACCTTTGTTAATGGAAAAAAGGAGATGTTAAAAGACAAATTTGTCTGGATTTGAGGAAATACTCTGGTGTTACTGGTTTTAAAAATCTGACTTTTAAGAAAATCTATTCACTTGGAACAAATATTTTCTTATATAAGCTCCTTTGAGCCCTTTTTTAAGTAGTATTCAATATTTTTCAGAAACCAAATATGGTTATCAGTACATACTTCAGATATTTAACTGAGTATTTAGGATTTGATTTATTATATTCTATTTGCTTTTATGTGAAACTTCAGGTGCCTCCTCTGTGATGGTATAATATTAGATGAAAGTTGTTAACTTGGAAGAGTTGAAGACAACTCTGCATTCATCCGTCTGACAAGCATATCTTTTACCTCCCACAGTTCTTTTCACAATCTCCTGAAAAATGCCTTATGCCATTCCATGCTTTCTACAAAGTGGTAGATACCTGGATAGAGTATTATCTCAATTGCAGTGTAGGGTTTGACATCTGACATCTTTTTAACTGTCACTGTACCCTGTGCATTAAAGTCTTTAATGCAGTCCATTACAATTCACTAGCATTTGCTAGCTTCCAAAGCCGACTTTGAAGATATGAAAATATTAAGCTTACTTACACTTGTACTAATATACTCAATGTCCTCATAATAATATGTTTGCTTTTTTTTTTTTTTTTTGAGACAGAGTTTCCCTCTTGTTACCCAGGCTGGAGTGCAATGGCACGATCTCTGCTCACCACAGCCTCCACCTCCTGGGTTCAAGCAATTCTCCTGCCTCAGTCTCCTGAGTAGCTGGGACTACAGGCACGCACCACCATGCCCAGCTAATTTTTGTATTTTTAGTAGAGACAAGGTTTCACCATGTTGACCAGGATGGTCTCGATCTTTTGACCTCGCGATCCACCCGCCTCAGCCTCCCAAAGTGCTGGGATTATAGGCATGAGCTACCATGCCAGGCCCTATGTTTGCTTTTTAAAGTCTGGATGTCTTGTAAATAAATTAAATCAAAAGATAGTTTAATTCTATTGCTTGACAATAGTCTAAGGGAACTCTCCCTCAGGAAAGATTCATTCTTTAAGCAATTGTTTGAAGATGGGAAAGGTGAGGCTCATTCAGCAAAATGTGTCATCACCTTGCTGCCCACCGCTAATCTATTTGTAACACCATGCTTTACTGTTAATAGAAATAGAACTATATAAGGCAATAACAATATGTAAGGAAGACTCCCAAAACTCCACCCTAGTTTTATGGTATCTTTGTTAAGGAAAACTTTGCTCACGTCAATATTTTGAATTGACTTTTTGTGTTTCACTGAGGAGGTTTTGCAGCCTGCAGCAATATTCCTTAACAAGATTTACATAAGCAAATGGTATGTCATTCTTTTGCCAAGTGTGCGATGTAGGCAACTGTAAGGGAGGATGGGAAATGACAGCCAGTACAATGCCTAGACTATGTGCAAGTTCACAGTCTTAGGAAGGAGCTCATGTGTAGGTTGTGTTTATGGAAACTGATTCCCTATGTTAGAAGGAAATAAAGAGAACCCAAGGGCCATCTAAAATAAGCCAGGTTAATAGTTTACCTGGCCAGAGAGAGCAACAACATTAAGGTGTGAGTTACTCTCCAAGCAAACGTTAACAAGGCTAAATAAAGGGCAAAGAGGTAGAGGTATATCAAAAAGACAAGATTCCAATTCCAAGTTCTGGCTTCTGACTGACTCATGTGGATTACAAACTGTTCCTTGCTATTGGTCACTTTCACACTTTGTGTGACTAGTGCTGGGAAACCCAATTTCAAACTGACCCAGGATGGGTTGAATGGAACTTCAGCAGGCCTGCTAGTTTACCTGATGAACTGATAAGCATACACTCAAAGCTTTGCAGTTTTTTCCTTAGTTGCTTAAAAAAAAAAAAACCAGTGTGACTTGGATAGACCTTAGTAAGTCTTTGAGTACCCCCAGATTGAATACTGCTTATCTAGTAGATGTGCCAAAAGAGGAATAGAAACATATTGGTATGTATGGTAGGGATCATATGCAATTATCAGAATAAAAAATTATCCATAGAGGAGGTAGAATTTGAATCAGGCAAAGGTTATCCTTGTACAGATGTCTCTTCATTAAGCAGACGCAGCTTTAAGTAAACCATAATTTTTTTTCTGAGTAAGAAGAAAACTCCTATTGTTTATAAAGATCTAAACTATACAAATGTTTTAGAAACACATCTTTATAGAATCAACAGATACTCGCTGCATAGACCCAATACTTTGAAGTTTAGAAGGGTCTCAGAAACCATGTGGACAAGGATTTCATAAACCTCCCTGCAGAGCCCCCCATAGGGCTCATCGTAGAATGGACCTTCCAGGCAAAGATTGGAGTGGGGGGGGTCAGTTGACCCTAATCTCCAAGGATTCCTACCTCAGCCAGAGACGTGGATATTACACTGCTCAATATTGTCTCATGGGTCACTGAGGCTCTGATCATTTTCTCCCTGTGTGCTTCAGTTTGGATAATTTCTACTGATCTATCTTCATGTTTACTGACCATTTCTTCTGCAACGCCCAATAGCCTATCTGGGAATTCTGTGAAAATTTTCACTTCAGATATTGTACTTTTCAGTTCTAGAATTTCTGTTTAGTTTCTAAAATATAATTTCCACTTTCTCTGCTAATACATCTTAATTTTCACATTATGTCCATCTTCCGCCTTCGATTTGTGAAAATATTTATAATGGCTGTTTTTAGTCCTTGTCTGTTAATTCCATCATCTGTGTCATTTTGGGGTCTTTTTCTATTGAATACTTTTCCTCTAGATTATAGTTCTACTTTTTTACATGTCTAGTAATTATTACTTGTGTTCGGGACATTGTAGAGGACATTTTATAGGGAGTCTAGATTGTGTTGTTTCCCATTAAAAGATGTTGGGTTTTGTTCAGGCAGGCAGTTAAATTATTGGTGAATCAACTTATCCTGTAGGTTTGGTTTTATGCTTTGTTAAAGCAGGTCTATTTCAGTTTGGTTCTTAGTCTCTGGCATGAAAATAGCAATGCTGTGTTCTTGCCATACATCTTGTGTGCCTCAGTCTCTAATAACTTTTTTGCTGTTTTGTTTTCTGTTTAGGAACTGACTTCAGAAACTGTTTCCACGAAGAAGAATATATTCATGCAGGAGGACACAGATTCCCTTGAGAAGGCGGCTTTGAAGCAGGAATTCCATACAAGGCCTTCCAGTATGATTCCAGGAATGCCTCAACAGGTTCCTCCTTCAGAGTCTGCTGGCCAGATTGACTGGAACTTCAAAATGTTAGAAGACATAAATTACCAGGAGGCTTTTCAGCATGAAGTTGCTCATGAAATGCCTTCTGGCTCCAAATCTCCTTATTAGGTTAACAGAAAGTAGATGCTTCTGATTTATTTCTCTCAAAGCTGGAAGCCAAGAAAATGGCCAGCTAGAATCAAGATTTAAGGGGCTGTGAAAGAAGAGTTCTACAGGGACTCTCCAGCCTACTCCTGTTCTGAAAACCCTTAATCATGTGAAAATTTGAACTAGTTTTAGGATAAACTAAACTCAGAGTAATGATTTAAAATAAGTAACTAAATGGGTGTAACTTTTCCCTCTTGTTTTATCAATGTCTTGGAGACTACACAGTGAAAACACATCTGTCTCATGTGTTCATGTCTTAGCTTTTGCTTCACTTCACAGTCAGGTTCTTAGGTATTTTTTACACATATCCTAGAGTCTACCTATGTCACTGATAGCAGGCATTTTTCTTCAACGTTTTACATTACCAATTTTTAAAATACCTTTTTCCAATTTTTGTTAATTGTGGTAAAACACATATAAGACTTACCATCTTAACCATTTTTAAGTGTACAGGTCAGTGATATTAAGTAGATTCATATTCTTGTGCCACCATCACCACCACCCAGCTCTAAAACTCTTTGATCTTGCAAAACTGAAACTCTAAACCCATTAAAAAATAACTTGCCATTTCTCCCTCTCCCCAGGCCCTGGCAATCACCATTCTCCTTTCTGTGCCTGTGATTTAGAGTACTCCATAATTATGTCATATCAATAGACTCATATATTTGTCTTTTCTATGACTGGCTTATTTCACTTAGCATAATGTCCTCGACATTCATTCATATTGTAGCATGTGTCAGAATTTCCTTCCTTTATAAGGTAGAATAATATTTTTTATATGTTTATATGACGTTTTGCATATCCATTCATTCATTGTCCATGAATGGGCATCCATTTATCAATGGACACTTTCACATTTTAGTGATTGTGAATAATGCTGCTGTGAACATGACTCTGCAAATATCTCTTGAAGACCCTGTTTTCAATTCTTTTGAGTATGTACCCAGAAGTAGAATTGCTGGATCATGTGGAAATTGTTTTTAATTTTTTGGGAAGCTGCCATTCTGTTTTCCGTAGCAGCTGTACAATGTTACATTCCCACCAATAGTGCACAGGGTTCCGGTTTCTTCACATCCTCACCAACACTTGATATTTTGTTGTTGTTTTGATAGTAACCATCCTAATGGCTGTGAGGTGGTATCTCATTGTAGTTTTGATTTGCATTTCCCTTATAATTAGTGATGTTGGGTATGTCCTTATTGGCCATTTGTATATCTTTTTTGGAAAAATGTCTATTCAAGTCCTTTGCCCATTTTTTCATTGCACTTTTTGGGGTTTTCTTGCTTTTGAGTTTTATAAGTTTTACATATATTCTGGATGTTAATCCTCTATCAAATATATTATTTGCAAATATTTTCTCCCATGCTGTACACAAATGAAATGTTGCCTTTTCACTGTGTTGGTAATGATGACAGGCATTTTGAAACAGGTTAAATAGCAGTAAACCTTAAAAGTTTGAAAAAAATGTTTTTAATTACTTTCTATCTACATTCATTCAAATATGATCTGTATGCTAAGGACTTCAGATTTATGTCTTTGATCAAAATTCCCTGAGCTTGACTGCTTGATGTCTCCACTTGGAGGACCAATGGACACTTCGAACTTAACTTGCCCCAGTGGACTTTCCCTGATAGTTTCTGTGAAGCAGTTTCTCTCCATTCTTCCATTTGCTCAGGCCAAAACTCTTGGTGTCTCCTTTGACTCCACCCTTTTTTGTCACCCTACATCTGGTTTGTTGGCTTTCTATTTAAATAAAGCCAGAATTCAACCACTTGAATGCCCAAACCACACTCAACTTTCTTTAGGTGATTGCAGTGGCCTGTTAACTAGTCTTCTCCTATCCTTGACTTTCTCTAGTCCGTCCTCAATATTAAGGCCAGGGTGTCTTGGTAAGACATAAGCCAGATCAAGTGTGATAAGCAGCTCCCCACTCTGTTGCAGAAACAGCCAACGCCCTTGTTATGACGTACTGGACTCTAGGATCTGATTCCCCTCACCTTTACTCTCCATGTTGTTCTCCCCACTTCAGCCATGCTGATGTTCTTCAAACACACCAGACATGGTCCCATATCAGAACTTTCACTTTCCCCTCTCTCTGCTTGGAATGTTCCCTCCTCCCCACATTCCCCTATTTCTGCAGATTCTTTCTTCCTCAGGTCTTTACTCAAAAGTCACCTTTCCAGTGAGGCCTTTTTTGGTCACAGTATCTAGACTTGACACTGCCATCCACAAAATTTCCTGCCCCTCTTCCCAGTCAATCTCCTTCATTAAAATGGGAACTCTGCAAGGGCAGGAATTTTGTCTGTTTAACACTTTTATAACCCCAGCACCTAAAACAGTGCCTGGTACACAGAAGATACCAAATAAATATTTGCCAAATGAATAAATAAATCAGTTGAACCTATACCAAGGCTGTTAAGTCATAACAGGTGTAAAAATGGCAAGCTAGCCAGTTTTGATTGGCACAGGATTGGTTTGCAATTCTAGCTTGCTCACCCCTTCCTCCAGTCCAAGACCAGCTACGTAACACAGTGCAAAATGAAAATGCTACCTGACTTACTCAAAATGATTAGGCATTTCAAGATGGTGACAGCAGAACATTAAACCAAATGTGCCCCCTGCTATAAGTTGGATGTTTGTCTCTCCCAAGCCTCTTGTTGAAATTTGATACCAGCGTTAAAGGTGGGGCCTGATGGGAGTATTTGGGTCATAGGAGCAGAATCCTCATTAACAGATTATTGATGTCCCTGGGTGAGGAAGAGGAGGGAGTGAGTTCTCACTCTATTAGTTCCCATGAGAGTTTGCCAAGAGCTGGTTGATAAAAAGAGGCCTAGCATCCCTCCCATCTCTCTTGCTCCCTCTCTCACCATACCAGCTCCCCTTCACCTTCTGCTGTAAGTGGGTCAGCCTGAGGTTTTCACCAAATGTCCAGTCTTCCAGTCAGCAGAATTGTGAGCCCAATACACTTTTTCTCTTTGTAAATTATCCCATCTCAGTTATTCCCTTTTAGCAGCACAAATGGACTAAAATGTTGCCCTTCCTCATATGGGCCCTGTGGGACTCTACAAGTCACAGACTCATGACGTCTATCCTGCTCCAGTCAGAACTGCTTCCCGTCTGCAGGATCTGTGATAGCACAAGTCCTCCTAACTATAAGGTCAGGCCTTAGGATGGGCGGCTTAAGTACATTGAAGTTCATACCACAGTGCTCTCAAAGATAGGCCAGATCTTCCACTGGTCTTCCCCAGTATACACTCATACAGAAATTCATCCAAGGCTAGCACATGCAGGGCCCAACATGAGCCATGCTGAAGGAAAACACTCAAAACTTTGGAACTCACTGCTACTGTGGTGTCCCCTCTTTGTCTCATAGGTATAGATGGCTACCCCATCACAGACTACATGGTCAGGGACATGGAACGAGCTTACCTCAGAACCTCAGAGAGCTAAAGGAGTCCCAAACACCATTCACAGACATTATAGACTGAACAGGCTGCAATGGACTGTCCTGGAAACCTAATACCAGGAATGGTAAGTTACAGAAGTTACAGTTTAGGGCATTTTTTTGCAAGCTGGGAGAGACTCACAGGGTCTGGAGTCATGAGGTTGACCAAGGTTGGTTACAAAGTCCAATGGCCTTGTCAATTGAGGCTGGAATGAGAAACAATAGAAGAATGTCTCAGGTTAGGCACTGCAGGGGTTGATCGTTTTTCATGATCTTCCAGCTACTTCAGGCTTTCTAATTCTGGATGGCCCTCCAGAGGTGACAGCTCGGGTCACGGGGGTCGTCATAACACCTGTGGTGCCATCAGTCAGCCTAAAAGACCTTACAGTTCTAAAACCCGGAGGGTCTTGGGCAGACCCTGACAGTTAGTCACCCTACTTTGATGACAAATTGACTCCATTTAAGAAATGGTTTCTAATTAACCCATGTTAGAAGGTTTGACTTTCCTCCAGCACGGTTGTTCTTAAATGAAAAAAAAAAAAAAAAAGTTTTTTATCCAACTTAAAGTCTGTGTTGACGTTAATGAGAGAAGTATCATGAGGCATGTCTGACACGCCCCGCCCTTCTCCCCCAACTTCTTTTCATGGCCTGAACCAGTCTTTCAGTTTAAATTTTAACTCGCTTCAGGTGTGATTATGATAATAGAAGAGCAATTTGTTTTATTTTCTGCCTGAGATGCAAGCACATTTTAAAAAAAATCAGACCTGCTGGGTTTCTAGTAAAAATGTATTAAATTTTAGGTCAGGAATAAGTTACAGGAATAAATCTCAGTGGGCCTCGGGTATTAACTTATTAGGGAGCGCGTCAGGGTCACACACAAAGAGGTTTATTCTTTAATAGGCTTTTGTGGAAGAGCAGGACAGGCTTCCTCTCTATGCATCTGACAAAGGTTTAATATCCAGTATCTATAAGGAACTTAAACAAATTTACAAGAAAAAAAACTCAAACAACCCCATTAAAAAGTAAATTCTCCGTTATAGAGATGGAGAATAGATTAGTGGGATATTAACAGACACTTCCCAAAAGAAGTGGGACAAAGGACATTAACAGACACTTCTCAAAAGAAGACATACATGCGGCCAACAGTCATATGACAAAAGCTCGTCACTGATCATTAGAGAAATGCAAATATAGGCCAGGTGCGGTGGCTCAAGCCTGTAATCCCAGCACTTTGGGAGGCCGAGGTGGGTGGATCACGAGGTCGAGAGATCAAGACCAACCTGGTCAACATGGTGAAACTCTGTCTCTACTAAAAATACAAAAAATTAGCTGGGCATGGTGGCACGTGCCTGTAATCCCAGCTACTCAGGAGGCTGAGGCAGGAGAATTACCTGAACCCAGGAGGCGGAGGTTGCAGTGAGCCAAGATGGCGCCATTGCACTCCAAGCCTGGGTAACAAGCGAAACTCAGTCTCAAAAAAAAAAGAAATGCAAATATAAACCACAGTGAGATACCATCTCACACCAGCCAAAATGGCTATTATCAAAAAGTCAAAAAATAACAGTTGCTGGTGAGGTTGTGGAGGAAAAGGAACACTTATATACTGTTGATGGGAGTGTAAATTAGGTCAACCATTGTGGAAGACACTATCGTGATTCCTAAAAGACTTAAAACCAGTAATATTATACCATTAGACCCAGCAATTCCATTACTAGGTATATATCAAAAGGAATATACATTTTTCTACCATAAAGACACATGCAGGCATTTGTTCAATGCAGCACTATTCACATTACTAAAGTCATGGAATCAACCTAAATGCACATCAATGATAGACTGGATAAAGAAAATGTGGTACTCATATACCATGGAATACTAGGCAGCCAGAAAAAAGAATGAGATCATGTCTTTACAGGGACATGGATGGAGCTGGAGGCCATTGTCCTTAGCAAACTAACGCAGGAACAGAAAACCAAATACCACATGTTCTCACTTATAAGTGAGAGCTAAATGATGAGAACACACAGACTCACAGTGGGGAACAACACACACAGGGGCCTGTTGGAGGGTGGTGGGTGGGAGCGGGGAGAGGATCGGGAAAAATAACTAATGGATACTAGGCTTAATACATGGGTGATGAAATAATCTCCACCCATGACGCAGGTTTACCTACACAACAAACCTGCACATCCTGCACACACATCCCTGAGCTTAAAAGTTTATATATATATATATATATATATATATATATATATCTCCACACACAGTATTGTCTCAGTAGCAGGAATTATGGGAGACAATGACTTTCAGTTATATATTTTTCTGATAATTCAATCTTTGCAATGAGCATGAATTACTTATGTAAGAAATAAAAGAAAGCAAACCTTCAGTAAAGACTGGATTTTAGAATGTTTCCACTTAGAAACATCAAAAGGTTGAGTCTTATAGCTGTCTCAATGTCTCTCAACTCAAGGCCAGAAGCCTAGTATTTATATTCCTTAGCTTCTTAGTACCTCCTTTAGTTCTCTTTTAGACAGAGTCTCGCTCTGTCATCCAGGCTGCAGTGCAGTGGCAGGATCTCAGCTCACTGCAACTTCAGCCTCCTGGTTTCAAGCGATTCTCTTACTTCAGCCTCCCGAGTAGCTGGGATTGCAGGTGTGCACCACCACATCCATCTAATTTTTATATTTTTAGTAGAAGCAGGGCTTCACCATGTTGGCCAGGCTGGTCTCAAACCCCTGACCTCAGGTGATCCACCTACCTCAGCCTCCCAAAGTGCTGGGATTACAGGCATGAGCCACCACACCCGGCCCTTCCTTCAGTTCTGTTGGACATACTCTATCATTTTTGTTAGCAACCATTTTTTGAGCATTGTGTCCATTTTGTTAGCAACCATTTTTTGAGCATTGTGTCCATTTTGTTAGCAACCATTTTTTGAGCATTGAGCAGGATAGTTGAATAATTTGTAGGGCCCAGTGTAGTATGAAAATACAGAGCCCCTCTGTTCAAAACCTATAAAGAATTTCAAGATGGTAACAGCAGAACTCTACTAAAGGATAGTGTTGCCCAGAGGACTGAAAATCGAGAAGAAAAATGGCCCAGTTCCCCATCCCCTCCAGGAAGTGCTTAGAGGTCACTGGCAATGCTTGTACTGTTCCTTTCTAATAGACACATTCTTTCTAAAGGGAAACGAATGCCCATGATAGCCTTTCTCACCTCTCTTGGTAAGGTGTCATTATGAGCCTCTGCTCTAGCATGGCTTACACTGCTCTCCCAGGTAAACTGAAAAGACACTATCTTACTTTCCTCACCTCCTAATACCTGTGGTGGGCAGCCCTCTTTATCAATCCTGTCTACCTTTCAGGGCAGCTGTGATGGGCAGGAGAAGTAAGAGACCCAACACTGAGTGTGTGGGAGTACCCTCAGTGGCCATGAAAGAGCCCTGTGCAGGGAGAGATGACCTAAAAGAAGGCAGGTGACACACCACAAAGAATATTTCAGAGTGGGGAGGAGAGTGCACAGAGGCACAGAGGCAGGAGAAAGTACCACTGCACGGTAAGCAGGGTGTGTGGAGAAACTGCCCCAGAGGCTCCAGGTGCAGGGGAAGGGCTGGATTTGAGAGGTGCTGGAGACACAGAATCCATAGCAAGGGGAGGGAGAAGTCTAGAATGCCTCCTAGCTTTCATTTGTTTAGGGACAAATTGAAGAAGCAAGTAAATTTAGCCCCCAAATAATGGCTGCTTTTGAAATGAGTTTAACATCAAGGCCATTCTCAAAGAGCTAGGGTCTTGGTTGGAATGCATCTTCCCCCAAAGGGTGCATGTTCCTCAGACGTGCCATACTTTTCTAAAGGGATTATGAAAATTCCCCTTCTTGCCACTGAAGCTGATTTGTCTGCATGTGTTTTGGAAAAGAGACAGACATTAGCCGGGCGCAGTGCCTGTAATCCCAGCACTTTTTGAGGCCAAGGTGGGCAGATCATCTAACGTCAAGAGTTTGAGACCAGCCTGGCCAACATGGTGAAACCCCATCACTAAAAATTCAAAACTTAGCGGGGTGTGGTGGCGTATGCCTATAGTCCCAGCTACTGGGGAGGCTGAGGCAGGAGAATCTCTTGAACCTGGGAGGCAGAGGTCACTATGCTAAGTGCTGAGATGGTGTTACTGCACTCCAGACTGGGAGACAGGGATAGACTCCGTCTTAAAAAGAAAAGAAATTAAAAGAAAAGAAAAGACATTATTATAAAGGATTATTTTAAGCTAGAAGGTGGCTCACGCCTGTAATCCCAACACTTTGAAAGGCCAGTGTGAGAGGATCACTTGAGGCCAGGAGTTCAAGACCAGCCTTGGCAACATAGTGAAATCCTGTCTCTATAAAAAATTTAAAAATTAGATGGGCGTGGTGACATGCACCTGTGGTCCCAGCTACTTAGGAGGCTGAAGTGGGAGGATGGCTTGAGCCCAGGAGGTCGAGGCTGCAGTGAGCCATGATTGCACCACTGCTCCAGTCTGGGCAACAGAGGAAGACTCTGTCTCTCAAAAGAAAAAGATTATCTTAGTTTGCAATGGTAGCTGACATATTTGCTGTTTAATGTGTACCAAGCACTATGCTAAGTGCTTAATTGCATTATCTCATTTAATTCTCACAGCAGTCCATGAGTTGGACACTTTTATCATCCCCCATGTTATGGATAAGGAAACAGTTAAGGTTCAGAGAGATTAAAGGCTGGGCCAAGGGCAGACACCAGCAGGTGGTACTGACGTCTGCCTGTCAGGGGCCCACACACTTGGCTGCTGGGCTGTCCTGATTAACACACTCTGACAAAGGAAGTCTTTTTCCCTGTTCACAGGCATTTTGCTGCAAGTTGATTTCAGTCTTTTTCTTACCTCTTAGCTGAAATGAAATATTCACAGAGCTTTCAAATAACCATTGTTATCCAGAAGCATTTAGGCTTTCTCATGCATATTTTATTTGTCTTGATTACCAGCCAGAATTAACCAACTCCCTAAGAATTGACAGCCCCAAACAAGAAACTTCAAAAATTTGTATTAGATACTTTAGACACACTGTTACAACAATATAAGTGATAAAGTTTATAAAGTTCTTCCCAGTGATAGAATACTATTTCCCTGTGACAAGATCCTTTTGACTATTTAGTACTGAATGATATCATGTTATATTTTTATGCAGATTACAAATCTATTTTCAAATGGTTGAATAATATGCTATGAAAAAAACAAATACCCCTTTCTACCTTAAGAAAAGGAATAAAAAGAGGCTGGGTGGGATGGCTCATGCCTATAATCCCAGCACTTTGGGAGGCCGAGGCGGGTGGATCACGAGGTCAAGAGATCGAGACCATCCTGGTCAACATGGTGAAACACCGCCTAGACTAAAAAATACAAAGATTAGCTGGGCGTGGTGGCGTGCATCTGTAATCCCAGCTACTAGGGAGACTGAGGCAGGAGAATTGCTTGAACCTGGGAGGCGGAGATTGCAGTGAGCCTCCCACTGTACGGATTGCACCACTGTACTCCAGCCTGACAGCTGGCAACAGAGCAAGACTCTGTCTCAAAAAAAAGAAAAGAAAAGGAATATAAAGAACAACTTTGGGGGGAACAAATGCAAAAGTCATGATATTACAAACTGACATTTTCAGAATATAAGAGAGAATGAATAGCTTAAATCAACTGAAAATGTGGTTATAAGAAGATGTCGTCAGGAGAGAAATGATGGTGAATTTTCCTGGAAGGATGAAAATTTGTAATTTGTATGAAGACAGCTGGATGCTCGGCTGACAGTTTTTCAGGGTGGCTTACTGCTGAGGCATACTGCATGTCACAATGGCTAAGGGAAGGCTCTCTGGGTCTTTCCGCTTTGATGTTTGAGATTCAGTTGTCAAGAAGAAACTACCTTAGTGTCTTTCAACAAAAGGCAAGTCCAAATGTCACAGAGGGAAGAGAGTTCCAGTAAGGTTCCCAGAAAGCAGAACTTTGGGAGCTGTGTTCAGAAGTCAGGCTGGCACTTCATAGATGTCTTAGGTCTGCTGTCCTTTAGACTCATGGTCAGAAGATATTGATTCCAAAGTATCATTAGAAAGGAAAAAATTTCTCAGTTACCACTGTTGAAAAAATATCTCCAGGAATAAAATTACAGGATGCAGAGGTAGCATTGTCTAAAAAAGGCTCACTTGTAGATACGTTTATCTATCCAACATGAAATAAAACAATAAAAAGTATCAGCAGAAATATAGTTCACAGACAAGGGTTGTTGAGGCCAAAAAAAAAAAAAAAAAAAATCGTTCCACAAGAGGCACCAGAAAAGAAAGTGTTCACCTATAATGCCAAGAAGAGATAAATTAATGAGGAGTCATGGCCACTAATGAGGCAACCCATAGCTACTATCATCCAGACTGCAATTATTCCAACAACAACAGTAAGTCACTATGGGGACACATTCCAGGACCTCAGTGGTTCAGGATGAAACACTTTCAGATCATGTGTCTGAAGAAACTAACTACATGGATGCAACTAGCTGAAGAGAGACTTTGCAAACATTATCCCGGGAGACATAAATTCTATAGGTGAGCCTGGCCAACATAAAAGCCTCATAATGAGTGCGATCCCAGTCAATCCAGACTGCTATAACAGAATACCTTAGCATGGGTAATTTTTAAACAGAAGTTTATTTCTCACAGGTCTGGAGACTGAGAGGCCTAAGATCAAAGTGCAGGCCGATTCAGGGTCTGATGAGGGCCTTCCTCATAGATGGTGTCTTCAGTTTGTTCTCACATGGTGAAAGAGACAAACAGGATCGCTCAACCCTCTTTAATTGGGGCGCTAATCCCATTCATGAGGCAGAACCCTCCTGCCTAAATCCCCTCCCAAAGGCCCCACTTCTTAATACTATTGCACTGGGGATTGAGTTTCAACATACAAATTTTTAGGGGACCATAGCAATGGCCAATAGAAATTAAGTTATTTGGCTGGGCCTGGTGGCTCACACCTGTAATCCAGAACTTTGGAAGGCTGAGGTGGATGGATCACTGGAGATCAAAAGTTTGAGACCAGCCTGGCCAACATAGCAAAACCCTGTCTCTACAAAAAATGCAAACATTAGCCAGGCATGATGGCATGCCCCTATAGTTCCAGCTACTTTGGAGGCTGAGGCAGAGGCAGAGAACTGCTTGAATCCAGGAGGCAGAGGTTTCAGTGAGCTTACATTGTGCCACTGCACTCCAGCCTAGGCGACAGAGCAAGACTCTGTCGTAAAAAACAAAATTAAGATTTGTTTTTGTTTCTTTTTAGTTTGCCAAGTTACTTATTAAAGAATTGAAATCAATTTCATAAGAAATGTTAGCCAGGAAAAAATTCCTCTGTGTTGATAAGTGTCACAATCAGTGAATAAAATTAGTGTTCATGAAATCCCTCAAAAATAAATTGCTGGCTGGGAGTGGTGGCTCATACCTGTAATCCTAGCACTTCGGGAAGCCAAGGTGGGCAGATTGCCTGAGCTCAGGAGACCAGCCTGGGCAACATGGTGAAACCCTATCTCTACTAAAATACAAAAATCATCTGGACATGGTGGTGCAAACCTGTAACCCAGCTACTCCGAGGCTGAGGCACAAGAATTGCTTGAACCCAGGAGGCGGAGGTTGCAGTGAGCCGATATCACACCCAACAGAGCTTGACTCTGTCTCCAAATATAAATAAATAAATTGCTGAAGAAAGAGATTCCATGAATAAAATTGGCTACGAAATAATTAGCCCAGGAGGGTCTCTTGGAAGTCTAAGATCCTTAGATAAAGCTATTGAAGACAAGGCTCTTTAAAAAGAAATGCTTTTTTTATATAGCTCATTTTTATTTTATTTATTTCTTTTGAGATGGAGTCTCTACCTGTCACCCAGGCTGGAATACAATGGCACAATCTCAGCTCACTGCAACCTCTGCCTCCCAGGTTGAAGTGATTCTCCTGCCTCAGCCTCCTGAGTAGCTTGGACTACAGACATTCATCACCATGCCCAGCTTATTTTTTTGCATTTTTAGTACTGACAGGGTTTCACTATGTTAGTCAGGCTGGTCTTGACTTCCTGACCTCAAAGGATCCACCCACCTAAGCCTCCCAAAGTGCTGGGATTACACACGTGAGCCACCATGCCCGGCCTTGAAGCTCATTTTTAAAAAGATGATTGGGGAACATTTCCCTAGGTGACATCAGTGGACTTCCTATCAATAGCCAAATGTGACTGGGACCCAATTTCCCAAGCAGCCCCTTCAGGGGGTTACTATGTAGAAAGGAGGGGTTGAACAAGACATGGTTCCCTACTAATCTCTTCAGGAACATATGAGTCAAATTGACAGAAATCCAGACAGAAAATTCGCAAAAACTCTGGTCTGGAAGAAACATCTCCATTGCCACATTTAGAACGTAGTTACTGAGAAAACGGCCTTAGAAAAAGAAACTTCCACCAATTGCATTGGCCAGAGCAGATGTTCATGCAGAAAAATAATGACCAAGGATCAAGATGTTCAGAACAAAACCTCAAATGAAGCAAATTCTGAAGGATGTTGGCTCAATGAGAAGCGATGAAACTAAGCAAATCTTGAAATGAGGAGGAATTAAACCACTGTGTAAGGGCAAGCCCCAGGGTGCAGTTTAGGATTACTCTTCAGGGATAGCCAAGCCTACCAGAGCGATTCCATAGGATACTATTCCGAAGAACACGTCTTCAGTCATGTTGGTATCCATTGCCAGATCCCTTCAAAATAAAATGTCCAAAGAATCTTCATTGCCGTGGGTAAAGCTCCTAAATAAAGAACAAAATTCTCAGCATATGTCACCAGAAATAATAGTATCTATATCTAGTCAAATAATGCCATCTGGAGACACAAAGTTTCAAGTATAAGATTCATCAGTATAAAAATCTTCCAAGCAATCATTTAGGAGAGGAATAAGTAATGAACACTTTGAGCCAGGGCAATTCTCCCCAGCAAATGCTGTCAGAAAATCTATGGAGAAGATGCAACTCAGTGAAGTTCCTTGGCAGACGCTATCCAAATGAAGAAAACCTTTAGAGAAAGACAGCCAAGACAAAATGTCTTTGAAATCAGGAGCAGTTTGGAGCAAGGCTGAGCAGACACTGAGTTTATAATGCCACATGCCTGCAGCCCATCAGGAAGACCAGCGCTGCATTTTCTCTCTGGCAGAAATGACCTCTCCAGAGGCAAGCTATATTATTGCAATTAATCTCTTTTCAGGAAAAACAGATAAGCAAGGTAAAGTAAATCCAGGCCAAGTATCCCCACAGATGTCATTGTAACACTGAACTCCACTCAGTGTTACCCAAGCTACAGCTTTTGAAGGAAGTCTTTCTTTGATATCCCTCCACTTCGAGTTTAATTTGCTTACCTTTAGTGCTTCAAAAATTATCATTTCAGAAGTTTTCGCAAAGATAACTCCAGACTAAGATTAGCAAAGATGATATATCTCAGCAAACAAAAATGAAAACCATAGCGTCAAAGAATGAGGTCAGTCAGGATGAGCCAAGGCTGATCCCAAAGACTTTCCTTTAAAAAGGAATGAAGTTACCAAAGCATTTCTGCCTTAAGAGACAAGATGGCAGCTGAGAGAAAAAGTTTACTAAATTATGTTTCTGAGAGGTAGATGTTGGAGTTGAAGCCAGTGAACAGGTACCACGGAGAAGGAATCAAGTAATCTAGCCACACTTCACAAGTTTCATCACAAGAGACAAGTGCTCTGGAGGCTGTTAATAAAAATTTAGTTGCTCTGCCTGGAATTTAAACCAAATTCCTTCGTGAAAGTGGTTATTCTATAGGTAACTAATTTTTTCACTATAGGGAAATGATATTCTTGATAGATGTAATTTTTTTTAGAGACAGGCTGGAGTGCAGTGGGTGGTCAAGGCTTACTGCAGCCTCAACCTCTTAGGCTCAAGTGATCTCCCCACCTCAGACCCCCACGTAGCTGAGGACTGCAGGTGCACACCACCACACCTAACTAATAATATCCTTTAGACATGAGAATGATGGCAAAACTATCTAAGGAGCGATTTTTCAACAGATTGTCATTCAAAAATATAACAAACGGTCAGGCCTAAATATGCATCAAATACTTTAGAAACTCCAGACAAAACAGCAGATGACAACAAGGCTATCTAAGGGATAAATGAGAAGGTGTAGCCCCTTCACTCAATGAAGAATGGAGACAAAACAAGAATCAAAAAACTGATGCACTGGATGCAGTGGCTCACGCTTGTAATCCCAGCACTTTGAGAAGCCAAGGCAGGAGAATCACCTGAGGTCAGGCGTTTGAAACCAACCTGGCCAACACGGTGAAACCCCATTTCTACAAAAAATACAACAATTAGCTGGGCCTGGTGGTGCACACCTATAGTCCCAGCTACTTGGGAGGCTGAGGCAGGAGAATCACTTAAACCTGGGAGGCAGAGGTTGCAGTGAGCCAAAATTGTGCCACTGCACTCCAGCCTGGTGACAGAGCAAGACTGTCTCAAAAAAATAAAAAAATACAAAGTAGAAAAACAAAACTATTTTATTAGACTCAACAAGTACATGACTAGAAAGCAAGCTTCTCTTTTTAAAGATATATTTGCCCCTGCCTAAATAGTACCCTTTAAGTACCTAAGGGAGAAGGAAAACACTGACATACCAGGAGGTTGCTGAGACCAATCTCAACCACCGTTGCTCACCGCCAGGGAGGAGTATCAGAGAGATGAGGGGCAGATGTGCAGGGGAGGAGCTCCAGGTTCAGTGAACTTTAATAAGCCCTGCCTGCTGACATTGCCTCTAAGGGTTTCCTTTTATATCACTGGCAGAATGAACTTCAGAATCCTGTGGTTTTCTACTCCAGGTTCCAATCTGCTTAGCATCTGACCTTTCTTAAAACAAAGATCTGAGTATTTCCTAAAACAACCTCACAGAACAAAAACAGAAACACACAAACATGGACTGACAATTTTGAGGGCTGACTACAAAAAGAATATTTTGATTTGGTGCAGTCACACCTCGGAGATACTGCAATTTCACCACAATGAAGTGAATACGGCAAAAAGCCAGTCACGCAGTTTTTGGTTTCCCAGTACATGTAAAAATTACATGTATACTATATTGCAGTGTGCTATTAATGCTATTAAGTGTGCAATAGCATTATGTCGTTAAAAAACAATGTGCATATGTAATTTAAAAATTCTTTTTTGCTTAAAAATGCTAATAATCATGTGAGCCTTCACCAAATTGTAACTCTTTGCTGGTGGTGGGTCTTGCCTTAGAGTTGATGATTGCTAACTGATCAGGGTGGTGGCTGCTAAAGGCTGGGGTGGCTGTGGCAATTGCTTAAATAAGACAACAGTGAAGTTTGCCACATTTCATCCACAGTAGAACTTCTTTCAGAATTGGAGCCTATCCTTTCACACTGCCACTGCTTTATCAACTAAGTTTGTGGAATAGTGTAAATCTTTGTCATTTCAACAATGCTCACAATGTTCATGAATCGTGAATGTTCTGGATGGCATGAGGAATGGTGAAACCTTTAGAGGTTTTTCATTTACTTTGTCTGGCTCTATCAGAGGAATCCCTATCTATGGAAGCTATAGCCTTACAATATGTATTTCTTAAATCATAAGACTTAAAAGTCAAAATTACTCCTTGATCCATGGGCTACATAATGGACATTGTGTTAATAAGCATAATAACAACATTTACCTCCTTGTACATTTTCACCAGAGTGCTCAGGTGACAAGAAGCATTGTCAAGGAGTAGTAATATTTTGAAAGAAATCTTTTTGGCTGGGTGCAGTGGCTCATGCATGTAATCCCAGCACTTTGGGAGGCTGAGGTGGGTGGATCACCTGAGGTTGGGAGTTCAAGACCAGCCTGACCAACATGGTGAAATCCCGTCTCTAATAAAAATACAAAAAAATTATCCTGGCGCGGTGGCACATGCCTATAATCCCAGCTACTTGGGAGGCTGAGGCAGAAGAATCGCTTGAACCAGGGAGGCAGAGGTTGCAGTGAGCCAACACGGCGCCATTGCACTCCAGCCTGGGCAACAATAGCAAAACTCCACTTCAAAAGAAAAAAAAAAAAGAAACCTTTTTGTCTGAGCAGTATGTTTTAACAGTGGGCTTCTTTGGGAGGCCGAGGCAGGTGGATCATGAGGTCAAGAGATCGAGACCATCCTGGTCAACATGGTGAAATCCCATCTCTACTGAAAATACAAAAATTAGCTGGGCATGGTGGCGCACGCCTGTAGTCCCAGCTACTCGGGAGGCTGAGGCAGGAGAATTGCTTGAACCCAGGAGGCGGAGGTTGCGGTGAGCCGAGATTGTGCCATTGCACTCCAGCCTGGGTAACAAGAGCAAAACTCCATTTCTAAAAAAAAACCAGTGGGCTTAAGATGTTCAGCAAACTATGCTATAAACAGATGTGCTATCATCCAGGCTTTGTTGCTCCATTGATAGTGCACAGGCAGAGTAGATCTAGCATCCTTCTTAAGGCCTCTAGGATTTTCAGAATAATAAATGAATGTTGGCTTCAACTTACAGTCGCCAGATGCATTAGAGAGATGCTCAAGAGAGTCAGCCTGTACTTTGAAGCTTTGAAGCCAGGCATCGACTTCTCCTCTCAAGCTATGAAAGTCTTGGATAGCATCTTCTTCCAACAGAAGGTTATTTCATCTACATTGAAAACCTGTTGTTTAGTGTAGCAACCATCATCACTTATCCTAGGATAATTATTTTCACTTGTTTTCTGAATGACTTGTTGCAGCTTCTACATCAGCACGTGCTGCTTCACCCTGCACTTTTATGTTACAGAGATGGCCTCTTTCCGTAAACCAGACTCTGCTAGCTTCAAACATTTCTTCTGCAGCTTCTTCATCTCTCAGCCTTTATAGAATTGAAGAGAGGTAGAGACTTGCTTTGTATTAGGCTTTGGCTTAAGGGAATGATTTCATCTTCTATCCAGACCACTAAAACTTTCTCCATGTCAGCAATAAGGTTATTTTGCTTTCTTATAATTTGCATGTTCACTGGAGCAGCACTTTTAATTTGCTTCAAGAACCTTTCCTTTGCATGCACAACTTGTCTGTTTAGCACAAGATGCTTAGCTTTCAGCCTCTCTTGGCTTTTGACATGCCTTCCTCACTAAGCCTAAACATTACTTTTTTTTTTTTTTTTTGAGACCGAGTTTCTTTCTGTGGCCCAGGCTAGAGTGCAGTGGTGCGAACTCAGCTCACCACAACCTCCACCTCCCAGGTTTGAGCAATTCTTGTGCCTCAGTCTCCGGAGTAGCTGGGACTACAGGCAAACACCACCATGTCCAGCTAATTTTTGTTTGTTTAGTAGTGACAGGGTTTCACCATGTTGGTCAGGCTAGTCTAAACTTCTGGCTTCAAGTGATCTGCCCACCTCAGCCTCTCAAAGTGCTAAGATTGCAAGCATGAACCACTGTGCCCTGCCCCTTACTAGTTCTTGATTTAAAGTGAGAGATTTGTGACTCTTCACTTGAACATTTAGAGGCCATTGTACAGTTATTAATTGGCCTGATTTCAATACTGTGTGTCTTGGGGAATAGGAGGAGAGGGAGAGATGAGGGAATGGTGTGTGGGCGGAGCAGTGAGAACACACCGAGTATTTATTGATTGAGTTCACCGTCCTAAGTGAGTGGTAATTGTAGATAATTACAAAGTAACATCAGAGATCACTGATTGCAGATCACTATAACAGATATAATAATAGTGAATGAGTCTGAAATATTGTGAGAATTACCAAAATATGACACAGAGACACAAAGTAAGCACATGCTGTTGGAAAAAAAAAAATGGCATCAATAGACTTGCACAACACAGGTTGCCACAGATCTTTAACATACATTTATTTATTTATTTTTGAGGTGGAGTCTCACTCTGTCACCCAGGCTTGAATGCAGTGGCACCATCTCGGCTCACTGCAACCTCTGCCTCACAGGTTCAAGCGATTCTTGTACCTCAGCCTCCCAAGTAGCTGGGATTACAGGCGTGTGCATCACCACACCTGGCTACTTTTTTTTTTTTTTAAGACAGAGTCTCTCTGTGTTGCCCAGGCTGGAGTGTAGTGGCACGATCTCAGCTCACTGCAGTTTCCATCTCTCGGGTTCAAGAGATTCTTCTGCCTCAGCCTGGGGAGTAGCTGGGATTACAGGCATGCACCACTACACCCAGCTAATTTTTTGTATTTTTAGTAGAGACGGGGTTTTGCCATGTTGCCCAGGCTGGTCTCGAACTTCTGAGCTCAGGCAATCTGCCCGCCTAAATCTCCCAAAGTGCTAGGATTACAGCCATGAGCCACCGTGCCTGGTGAGATCTTTAATATTTAAACAAAATGCAATATCTGCAAAACACAATATAATGAGATATGTCTGTGTTTAATTTCTTATACAAATCAGATAGATAGGTAGATGGAACAAAAGACATTACTGGGATTCATCACGGATATGTTCCACTGTGGCCATTATGTATCCATTAAAAGCAATAATGTAGAAAGATACAAATGTATAACATCATGGTAAGTATGTTTATGTGTGTATGGGTGTGTCTATCCACCGAGAACTATCAGGAAAGATGGTCATTTGAGTGATAGGATTACTATTGAATTTGTATTTTGTCATGCTTTTCTGTATCACAAAGTTTTTTTATAAAGATCATGAATCCCATATAAAATAAAAAGAAATAAAGATGTTTTTCATTTGGGAAAAACTAATTTTTTAAGCAAAACTTATCAATATGGATCTGGGCAGCTCAACTTCTTCATTTTTAAAAGTAGGAATTGTACATTTGTTACTCTGTCTTTCATCGTGACTGTTACATGGTGTGCTAGATTCCCATCCAATAGTTTTTGTGTTTCAACGGGATTCTTTCTTGCCAGCCTCCAGGATGGAAGAGTAGTGGAGGGAACTCTGCTTGTTTTCTCCACCTGTCCTCCGGCTAGGAGGAAAATTGACCACTCTGTTTAGATTGTTAGGTGACTGCTCCTCTTGGGGTTGCATTCACATGCTGGGCAGACTAAATGTATTATATGTAACACTTTTGGGTTTTTTTTCCTTCCCTTTGGTCTCTTAAACCTGCTTGTATTTTGTGAGGCTCACATTTGCCACTTCGCTATCTGCAATTTGGTGGGGAAGTCAGTCTCCTGGAGGGAAATGAGAGACACCACCATATTCTTCAGTTTATATGATTATCTATCTGAATATAATCCTAATAAACTATTACTCTATTCGAATGCAAGAAGGACAATCCACTGAAACTGTTCTCTTGTCACAAAATTGCCCTCTGGATCATTATTGTAATTGCCATTGCCATTGCTCATGGCTATATTATGATCACTGATATTATTACCACTCATTAGCTAAATGCTTCTGACTTTCCTTCCAGGCATAGACCTTCTCGCATCTCAAACTCACGAAGTTAGTCTCTGGTTATCCCACCCGTCAACATCCACCCCCAACTTCCACTACTCCCTGTGACACTTAAATGAGGAAATTCACAGAGAGCACCTAGAATTAATGTGCCTGGGACACAGGGACCCCCAATGGCATCAGCGTTGGCGGCTGCTGCTGCTGTCATAATTGTTGCTGTGCTAGACCTGTGTAATTTTAAAGTTGTAGCTGTTGCTGCTAAGGGGCAATTTCCTGCCACCTCTACTGTTTTTTTCTCTGCATTAACAAAAGCCCCAGCTGGTTTTCCTCCCATAGCCATGTGGTGGCACCAGCACTTCACAAACTTTCATCTGAAATAGCTAAGTCTTTCATTTTGTTTTTGTTTTGTTTTGTTTGTTTTAGTTTTAAGACAGTTTCGCCCTGGCTGGAGTAC